ATCAGTGGTGGTTTTCTTCCTCCTAGCATTCTTGTAATTGTCCAGTCTAAGTAAAGATACACCCTTGAAACACTTGCTGTTCTAGAAGGGCTATCAGGAATCCCCTTTCTCTTCCTCCTCCGCCTCTTCTATATTCTTCATCTTCTTCATGATTCTCATCATCATCACTACGATCACTATCCAGTGTTGCCAAGGAAGCACTTTATACTTTTCAAATAGCTTCCCATCTATTAATTCAATTTGGCCCTCACTGTCACTCTGGATGATATTCCAGTAGAGATTCAATATGCCCATTTTCGAGATAGGAAAACTAGAGTTCAGATGGGGAAGGCAATTTGTCCAAGATAGAGGCAAGGATAAAACCTGGCTACTTCTCTTCTGAAAGTAGTGAGACAGAAGTTTTCTTTGACGGGGGGGTGTGGGGGGGTGTGGGGGGTGTGGGGGGGTGGTGGGGCGGTGGGTGGTTGGGATGGTGAATAAGGAGGTGGAGGATGGGCAAATGAGAAGGGGCAGGACAGATCGGAAAGATCTAGAATGCAGAACCAAGGGACTGAAGTTTTAAAGATGTGAAACTCAGATGAAGACTCCCAGTACCATGGAACTGAGAGGATCACTCTTTTCGGAATTGGCTCTTGTTTAGTTGCTAAGTCATGTCCGACTTTTTTGCAACCTCAGAGACTGTAGATTACCAGACTCCTCTGTTCATGGGATTTCCCAGGCAACGATACTGGAGTGGGTTGCCACTTCCTAATCCAAGGGATCTTCCCAAACCAGGGATTGAATCTGAGTTTCCTGCTTGGCAGATGGATTCTTTGTCACTCAGCCACCTGGGAAGCCCCAAAATTGGGTCTGAGAGGTTCATAACTGCAGGGAATTCCCAATGAATGGCCACATCCTTCCAACTCTGAAGTGAGGACTTTCATAGAGAGTCTAAAAATAAATGGAGCTACTGAATGTTTTTGTTATTATTGCTGTTGTGTTTTGAGCTGGGAGATATCAGTTAAAAGGTCAAGGCATTCATATCTTTACGGTACAGATCATTATGTGCAAAAAGCAATGACCATGAGAACAATGCCAGCTGCACTATTTGGAAGGACGAATTCTCCTTCTCATCTCTGAACCACTCGCAGCTGCATTTCCAGGGCTGTGAATCATCCATTTGAGGGAAGGGAAGGGAATAGAATGTTAAATACAATTTATGCTTTGCTAATTGAAATCAAATACAAAATTCAGTCTCCTGTGAGTTGCCATGCTCATGTTTAAACTGGGTGGAAGTGTCATTAACCTGAGACCATTTTCATAGGCTGACTTGGTTTTGATGGATAGGAAGCAATTTCTTTGTCAAGTTTCCCCACCAAAGAAGGGGATATGGCTTGTTGACTTGCTTCAAGTCTCAAAAACCAAGCTAGAGAAGACACTGCCAAAAAGAGAACTTAAATGTGCCAAGTTGGCATTTTTCTTCAGAACCATGAGCTTGCAACCACATCACCAAACAGATGCTAAAATAAAAATTCTCCAGATATCAAGGCTTAGGCCTCTGCCCTACTTATCTAGAGAACTTTAGCCTACTGCTCTATGCAAAAGGGATAAATGCTTAGGGAGAGTTTCCCACTTTGATTTCCCAGGTCAGAATGGCTCTTAACCATGGGCTAACCATTTAAAAAGTGGATTTGCTTTTCCTATCCAAGTGAGGATGCATACTCACTAGATTTCTCTTTTAAGCAGCGCTTGAGGGCTTCCTTCGTGGCTCAGACAGTAAAGAACTTGCCTGCAATGCGAGAGACCTGCGTCCAATCCCTGGGTGGGGAAGATTCCCCTGGAGGAGGAAACGGCAACCCACTTCAGTATTCTTGCCTTGGGAATGTCATGGACAGAGGATCCTGGTGGGCTACAGTCCATGGGGTCACAAAGCATTGGCCACGAATGAGCGACTAACGCTTTAAGGTCTTGGTATTCTGGGTTTATGGGGACAGGTAGAAAGCCAGGGAGGTGGGACAAGGACAGTGGTGTGACTGCAGGGCTGAGCTAATGTGCCCAGCCACTACATAAGAGATGGAGTAGGCTAGAGCAGTGCTCGTTCTTGTGTGAATACACGCACACTCAGTCATGTTCGACTCTCGGTGAACTTATGGACTGTAGCCTGCAAGGCTCCTCTGTCCATGAGACTTTCCAAGCAAGAATATGGGCATGGGTTGCCGTTTCCTACTCCAGGGGATCTTCCTGATCCAGGGATTGAACCTGAGTCTCCTGCATTGGCAGGTGGATTTTTTACTGCTGAGTCACGGGGGAAGCCCACTGGTCATTCTTAGCTCATGGAAAAATATCTTGCAAGTTTTCCTACCATGAGCTGCTCCTTTGACCTCCTAAGTTATAAGGTTACCCCTTACTTGATTGTTATTGAACTCCAAGAGAGACCTATTCCTCCAAGGAAACCATCAGTCCTGGGGACCATCTCATTCAGAAGTGATCCCCACAAAGGCATGAAAGCAGAGGAGGAAGGAGGATGAGAGGGACAAAGAAATACACAGGTGAGACTTCTTGTTCTCAAACCCAGCTTCCATAACACTATTTTTGAAAGGGTAGATGCCCGGGCCCCACCCTAGAGATTCTAACAATTTAAAAATTCTGCAATGCAGCTTAGGAGGTTGTAGCTTGAAAATACCCCCACAGTTGCCTCTAATACTAATCAGAGCTACTCCTTGCTTTGCTCATGAAATTAGTTACTTAGTGTTAGTCACTCAATTGTGTTGGACTCTTTGCAACCCCATGGACTGTAGCCCACCAGGCTCCTCTGTTCATGGAATTCTCCAGGCAAGAAAGCTGGAGTGGGTTGCCATTCCCTACTGCAGGGGGATCTTCCCAACCCAGGGATTGAAAACAGCATTTCCTGCATTGCAGGCAGATTCTTTACTGTCTGAGCCACCCAGGAAGCCCTTGCTTATAAAGCAAGGCCCTAAATCAGTCATCCCACTGTACATTCTTCTGATCAAGCAGGCCCTGTCTTCTTTCAAATAGGTGTGGATGTGTACATGTGGCACAGTTTTATTTGTATCTTCTTTTACTTTGTTGGTTTAGTCACTAAATCATGTCTGATTCTTGTGAACCCCATGGACTGTAGCCCACCAGTCTTCTTTGTCCATGGAATTTTTCAGGCAAGAATACTTGAGTGGGTAGCCATTCTTTTCTCTAGGGCATCTTCCCGACCCAGGGATGGAACCCACCTCTCCAGCATGGCAGGCAGAGTCTTTACTGCTAAGCCACCAGGGAAACCCCTTTTACTTTGGTAGTAAAGGGATATATGCTGCCTTAACTCAATAACCATTTTTTTAATCTGGAAAAAAAATTGTCAGATTGTTTCTGAATCTTGCACATCAGTCTGTTCCTTGCCAGGATGGGTTAAGAGGGGAGGACACTGCACCTCTTACAGAACTACTTCCTTTGTGCTATTTCAAGAATCATCCTGCCCTGCAGATAGAATTCCCTGGCAGAGTTGCTAACCTGGGTCCTCCTGGCTATCCCAGAGAAGGGATACTCCTAGAATTCAGGGGGGTGGAGGTGGAGGTGGGAATGGAGGTAACCAACACAAACACACCATCAAAATCCATCAATCAGATTGCATTAAGCTTTATAACAACACAGTTTTCAGTTAGCGAGAGAAATGACAGTTTAATAACAGTTGAACAGATTTCACTCCCTCCCCCCACTCATACATATTTCCAATTTTGCTAGAACAGTTCCTGGTTCTGGAGATCTGTGAAGAGTGCTTCATGTCAAATGCTGCATTTTAATGGAATCAAACTAATGGGAAGGGACATTTGATGCAGCAGCCCTTGATGGGGGTGTCCTCAGACAGCCCTTACCCTCCCCCACCCCCTGACACTCTGACAAAAGGAGTCAGCCTGCTTGTTGCTGCCCCAATACGTGTCATCTCTGAATCGAGCAAATGAAGCGTGAGATGACCACGAAGGGGAGATGGTGGGACAAAGAGAGAGATGGTGATCAATCCCCTGTGGGTTGGGTTGCTAAAGGTTATTCATGACAAAAGACATGCCAGCTCTCTGGTCCCTGCCCCTCGGGGGACCCTAAAGGAGAGAGCCCCTCCAAAAGCTTGTCTCAGATCCATGCTGCTAACGGTCTCAGAGATGGAGACCTCCCACCAAGAAGACTGGTTTTCTTTTTTCACTCCCAGAGATGGCATTCATCTTTTCCAACCTCAGAGCTCTGGGCTCAGCTGCAATTCCCTTGCTCTAAGAGCAGTCCTATGAGTCTGATTCTAAGGAGGGCCCAGACTAAGCTTCTCTACCACCCAGGATACTCATGAAGAGAGGGACCCAACTGCCCTTCGAAGGCTCTTAGAAGGAAGGCTTCCAGGGACGTCAGCTTTTTGTTTTTGGTGAGGAACGTGCATGCCTCTGCCTTCATCAGATGAGGAGTGAGGAAGTCAAAGGGTTGTGGGATGAGACCTTTAAGGAGAAGGCTTGAGACACCTTAAGAGGGAGGATCTTGCTCCCTAGGAGTCCTGGAGCAATCAGCCACAATTAGTATTCTGGCGAAATGCCAAAGCAGAGGTTGATAGAGCAGGGGGCCTGTGCCAGATATGGGGCTAGAACTTGGGCTTCTCAAGTTAAAGTGAGAGGTCCCTGCCCAAAGTAGACCTTCCCTTCTTTCTTATTTAAACAAACATTCATGGCACTATCTCTGACCTTGACAGCTATTTATCCTGTCTTCAGACTGGATTAACCCACAGAAGACAAGAATTAGCAGTGGATTCTGGTGGCCAGCTGGTCAACCAGATGCTGCTACCCAAGCAGGCCTGGTACCCTATGAGCATGCCAGGGGATCCACCCCTCTGCCAACAGCATTGGAAGCAATCCTGACTGGACAAAGAAGGAGATCTACTTGGCATCCCAGCAAGGCTGAGGCTACAGATCTGGGGGATTCAGGACTCGGGTCAGGAGCCTCCCTAGAAACTCGCCAGGCTTCCCGGCACATCGCGAGCCTCATTTGTCACCCTCTTCCTGTTCCCACTGGAAATCTTGACCAGTCATTTGGTAAAACATCATGTTGAAGGGTTTGTAGAACTTCCGCAGTCTGTGGATCACATCTGGGTCAATGCGAGGATGAGTCCGACCCTTGCTCTTGCCTAAGCACCGGGGGGCACTGCTGTCTTCTGGCTTCTTTAAGCAAGGGAACCCCTTGGTTTTGTTGAAATAGAAATGTTTCTCAGTCACTACACGCTTGAGGCCTAGAAAATCCTGTACTTTGGCCATTTCCCCGGCAGGGTCCACTATGAGTCGCTCACCGCTGACGAAGAGGATCTGAGAGAGGGGGAAATACTGGAGCCAGTTTTCCAGATGCAGAGCATAGATTCCTATTCGAATGGCGCTCCAGGAGGCGTCGATCAGCCCTAGGGTCCTATTTTTGAAGGCCAGCACCTCGAAGGTGGGGATTTCGGGTTTCTTTGACAGTGTCTGGGTGTAGTCGGAGATGGCCCTGGTCACGGGGTTCCTCACCACCACGATGAGTTTGATGTCCTTGGCCATGGAGTGGATGCGCTTGGGAGCCTCGTTTGTCACAAAGTAACTTGGCGTCTTCTCCATGGTTAACTGTCCATCCAAAGTCTTGGGCATCACATTTCTAGAAGAAGGAGGAAAACAAAAGACTGGTTATTCCTATCCAGAAATAACTGAACTTGTCCCAGGAAACATATGATATAAACAGCTCAGTGGGGAGCTACCAAATAAAATTCATATACACTTGGAAGTTCTTTTTAGACATGTGAGTTGTTCAGTCGTGTCCAACTCTTTGCGACCCCATGGACCACAGACCCCCGAGCTCCTCTGTCCATGGAACTCTCCAGGCAAAAATATTGGAGTGAGTATCCATTCCTTTCTCCAGGGGATCTTCCTGCCCCAGAAACTGAAGATGGGTCTTCTACACTGCAGGCAGATTCTTTACCATCTGAGCCAGCGGAGAAACCCTTTTTAGACTGTATGTCTCACTATAGTTCTGATTAAAGTATTATCATAAGAGGCAGCAAAAAGCTTGTGCATTCATTCTTGGGAATGTTATACACCTGGCATTTAAATTGCAGCTCTAGCTCTTGCCAGTTATGTTTAACCTAGTTGGACTCTTAATTTCTCTGTGTATTAGTTTTATAATCTCTGAAATAAAGATAATGATAGCACCTACTTCATATGGTTGTAAAAGGATTAAAGGAGATAATGCTTTTAAAGCATTTAGCACAGAAGCTGGCATGTGTAAGAGCTTAATAAATCAAGGATAGGATTGTTGTAGTGGCTTTTGGAAAGTGTTTGAGCTCAGCAAGACCTCAAAGGTGATCTAGCCTAAGGGTTGGCAAACTACTGCCTGCCTCCTGTTTTTGTATGGCCCACAGGTAAGGATGCCTTCTCATCTTTAAAGTGAAGTGAAAGTGAAAGTCACTTAGTCATATCCTACTCTTTGCGGACCCCATGGACTGTAGTTCGGATGGGGGAAAAACAAAAATAATAAGACTAACATTTTGTGGCACATGCAAATTGTATGTAATTCACATTTCAATGCTTATAAATAAATTGTCATTGGAACATGGTCACTCATTCCTTTCTGTAAAGTCTGTGGGTACTTTTTGCATCTACATCAGCATAGTTGAATGCCTGCAAACAGAGACCATATCACATGCAAATCTGAACACATTTTATAACTGGCCCTTTAAGATATCATTTGCTGGCCCCTAACCTAGATGAAAAGGTCCATCTAGTCAAAGCTGTGGTTTTTGCAGTAGTCATGTATGGATGTGAGAGTTGGACAAAGAAGGCTGGGTGCCAAAGAATTGGTACTTTCGAACTGTGGTGTTGGAGAAGACTCTTGAGAGTCCCTTGAACTGCAAGGAGATCCAACCAGTCCATCCTAAAGGAAATCAACCCTGAATATTCACTGGAAGGACTAATGCTGAAGCTGAAGCTCCAATACTTTGGCTACCTGATGTGAAGAGTCGACTCACTGGAAAAGATCCTGATGCTGGGACAGATAGACGGCAGAAGGAGAAGGCAACAATAGAGGACGAGATGGTTGGATGGTATCACCGACTCAATGGACATGAGTTTGAGCAAGCTCTGGGACATGGTGAAGAACAGGGAAGCCTGGTGTGCTGCAGTCCATGGGGTTGCAAAGAGTCAGATATGGCCAAGTGACTGAACAACAACAAACCTAGTCAAAGGGTTTCCATGGTGGCTCAGTGGTAAAGAATCCACCCAAAATGCAGGAGACTCGAGTTCAATCCCCAGGTCAGGAAGATTCCCTGGAGAAGGAAATGGCAACCCACTCGAGTATTCTTGCCTGGGAAATCCCATGGACAGAGGAGCCTGATGGGCTACAGTCCATGGGGCAGCACGTGAGTCGTATATGGCTGAGCAACTAAACACACAATTGTCCAACCTAGTCCAAAGGCATCTTTATGCAAATGAGGAAACTGAAGCCCAGAGACAGCGAATCAGAGAGGTTTGGTGACTTCAGCAAGTTGAATCACATCCCTGAGCCTTATTATCTTCATCTTCAAAGTCCTGAAACTTACCTCAACTTCAGCTGAGAATGAAATGTATGACATATATTAATAGTGTGACATACAGTGTGACAACATCTAGCACAGAACTGGTTTCATACATGGGATTTCTTCCTTCTTGGCTTCCAAGTTTGCTCAGTAAGGTCATGATAGGTCCCACACGCATGTGCTCAGTTGCTTCATTTGTGTCCGACTCTTTGTGACCCACTGGACTGTAGCCCACCAGTCTCCTCTGTCCATGGGATTCTCCAGGCAAGAATACTTGAATGGGTTGTCATGGCCTCCTCTAGGGGATCTTTCCAACCCAGGGAATGAACTGCATCTCCTGTGCTTCCTGCATTGCAGGTGGATGCTTTACTGCTGAGCCACTTAGGAAGCCCAATAGATCCCACACCAGGTCCCATATCTCTTGGTTTCCTTCCCAAGGTTGCATCTCAAACCCACCCCTCCATCCCTGTTCACCTTCAAAGTGCCCTTGTCTTACTTGGGAGCTTCAAGGGACTAAAGGAGTTTGATGCTATTGGTTCTCTAATACCAATGTGACCAGTCTATCAGTGAGAAAATGAGGCTCAAGATCCTATTACACAGTCAATTTGCTGTAGGCATATGTGGACCAAAGTTAATTGAGGATAAACCTGTTCCATACCTGTTGGTACAGCAGGCCATCTGCCACCATGTACTCCATTAAGTCTATTCACTTCTGAGCCTTGCACCAAAGTGGTACATTTAGGATTACACAAGACCTCTTTGTTATGATGACACGCTTTTAAATGTCTCAGCTAATAAAACTTAATACAGACGAAGATCCCTCAGCTTCCCCTACCATAATTAAATTTATTTACTATCGCCTGTGTGGAGAAAGAATGACTTTTCTTTTATCTCTAATTCACATGCTCTGTCAATAATTAATTGCTACTGGGTTTTGAGCTTTCTCGGCAAGCACTTTTATTAGGCAAGAGGAATGTGCCTCTTGTCTAATGCAGAGAAATTCACATGGAGTTTGATGTCGTTTGGGTATAATGATTGGGCAGTGAGCAGTTTTCAGATCAAAGCAATAGCTCTGGCCATAAATAATCATACTCATCTTGAACAGACATCGTCTCCCCAGTATTTCAAATGTCTTCACATTTGTGTGCCTCTTTGGTTTGGGGGAGTCACACTTGTCTGATTTCAGAGTTCTGACTACCCATATCACCTTGATGAAGTGACTAAACCAACCAGTATTCTTGGGCTTCCCTTGTGGCTCAGCTGGTAAAGAATCTGCCTACAATGAGGGAGACCTGGGTTAGATCCCTGGGTTGGTAAGATCCCCTGGAGAAGGGAAAGGCTACCTACTCCAGTATTCTGGCCTGGAGAATTCCACGAACTGTATAGTCTCCGGGGTCGCAGAGAGTCAGATACGACTGAGCCACTTTCACTTTCACAAACCACTCTGACTCTCCATTTTCTCATCCAAAAAAGTAGGGTTAATAAGTGAAAGTGTTAGTTACTCAGTCGTGACCGACTCTTTGTGATCCCATGGCTCCTCTGTCCATGGAATTCTCCAGGCAAGAATACTGCAGTGGGTAGCCATTCCCTTCTCCAGGGGAATCATTCTGACCCAAGGAGTGAACTTGGATCTCCTGCATTGCAGGCAGAAACTTTACTGTCTGAGCCGCCAGGGAAGCCCAGGGTTAATAAGAGTCCCTCTCTTATAGGATTGTAGAGAAGATAATACAGGTGAATCACTTGGAATAGTGTCCAACAAATGCCAGAATTTTAAAAGCTTAAGCCAGGGGCACACAATCATTGGAACAGCAATTGTTAGAGAAAGGGCAAGGAGAAAATACTTATGTTTGACTAAATGGAAAAGTTGAACAACATGGAAACTAAGGAACTGATATAGGAAAAAAAAAAAAAAGAATATTCTGATTCAAGCCCATATCATCATACTTCCTGATCAGGGGAGCTGCTATTAGTTTAGCTGGAGGTGAAGGAATATACTGATATCCCACTTTTATTCCAATTAGAGAGATTATCTTGTTTTATTATGAAACTCATGTCATAGTATAAAAATACTAAGTAAATTGTTGATGCAAAAAATACTAAAGATAGATATTTTTAATACATAGCCGTTTCCAGAATTTTGCCCCTCAGTATATATACATTGCTCTTTTATTTTGTTGCTTTCTTTTTTTTTTTTTAAGCTGCTAGGGTTTTCTTCTCATCTGGTCTCTGCTGTTGACTTCTAAGAGCTCAGTGTTTATCTTTATACTGACCTCGTTCAAATTCATCTCCTTCACTTCAGCTAATTGCTGCAGTCTGTCAAGATCTTTGTGGATCTTGAGTTTTTTATCTGAAGCATCTGAGATAAATGGTATCCAGCCTGTAAGCCAGTGTATATAGGGGAGTAAGTGCATGCCTAGTTCAGTGATCAATGCAAATAAACGGTATCCAGCCTGTATGGCTCAGATGGTAAAGAATCTGTCTGCAATTCAGGAGACATGGGTTCGATCCCTGGGTTGGGAAGATCCCCTGGAGGAGGGAATGGCAACCCACTCCAGCATTCTTGCCTAGAGAATTCCATGGACAGAAGAGCCTGGCAGGCTACAGTCCACAGGATGGCAAAGAGTTGGACACAATTGACCGACTTTCACTTTTACTTTTCAAGCCAGTGTATATAGGGAAGTAAGTGTGTGCCTAGCTCAGTGATCAATGCAAACAGCAATGAGCGGAAGGGGGCTAGAGAGGCAACAGAGAGAGTAGTGGGGAACAGAGATGCCTAAATGGCTTTGATTGTCATGTTACAGATGGATACCACCATGCATTTGAGAAGAGTTCCTGCACTTGGGGCACATATGGGAAAACCATCTCATATGTGGAATCTAGGAAAATGGTACAGATGAACCTATTTCTAGGGCAGGAATAGTGACACAGACATAGAGGACCGATATATGGACACGGGGTGGGGGGAGGGGAAGGTGGGATGAATTAAGAGATAGGAATTGACATATATACACTGTTATGCGTAAAATAGCCAGCCAGTGGGAAGCAGCTATATAGCACAGACAGCTCAGCTCAGTGCTCTGTGACAACC